CGCGGGTGGGGCCGCGGCCTAGGTCGGGCCCGAGGCCGCTTAGCCGGAGGTCCCCGTGGTTCGCAGGGGCTGCTGCTGGCTTTGCTTAACTAAGCGACCCCGGGGCCATCTCTAGAGCTGACCTCGGGATGTACTCGATAATCGGCTGCTGCCGGCGAGGAGAGGGTATGGAAATAGGAAAGCCTGGCTTGTTGGCACATAGGCTAGTGATGAGGTGAAGGCGCTTTACTCCCTGAGATGCCAGCTAAGCAGGCTGGCTGTCTCAGACCTAGTTTATTTCTTGCTGTCAAGTATTTAAAAACTCAAAAAACTAATAATATATATATATGTGTGTGTGCATATATATATATACATACATATATATACACACACATATCTATCTCTGAGAAAAGTAAAGTTCTTTTAAAAGTCTTTGAGGGCATTATAGCTGAAACTTACCATATATACCAGAGATGGACCCAATCTGTGGTCAGGCAACTATGAAGAAAGAACAAAGTTTTTTGCAATAAAATTATAGTCAATGCCTGTTATGATTCCAGAATCAAGGTGATGAGTTACAGTAATACGATACCTTGTTATAATAAAGCATCACAGGTTCTATTAACTGCAGTGTAACCAGGTAATGGGACGCCTTAAACAGTTTTAGACTATAGATGGCATTGTGTACATCATTTTACAAATCATTGTAAGACAGACTCAAGTAGTGAGCATGAAATGGTGTTAACAGAAACAGGACCATTAGAAACAGTTATGATGACATTTACCAAGTAAGAACTTTCCATGCAAGTTTAAGAGTTTGACAATGGATGTGAAAGTTAACGTTTGTATATATTTGAGATCAATAAAATTTATCAAACATAAAGAAAATTTCAGTTTTTAGCATGAAAGCAATACAACAAAGTCTGTAATTTATGTATTGCAAGTTGTTGCAAAAAGGGCCACCAAAAAAACCATAAAACTCCCACCATGAAAAGGGCCCTAAGTTTTCATACCCGTAATTGAAACTGATATATATAATGTCTGAGGCCAAACAAAACAGGAGGGAAATGTAGAAACCAACTTCATCATGAGGAAAGCTAATTAAATATTCTGAATTAACTAGGACAATTATAAATTTTCTCTACTGGGATAAAAGTATGGATTCTTGAGAGAAAGACGGGATAAGCTCAGGACTGGGGAGGGGAGGGAAGGGAAATGTTTATCTTCAAAGATGAGTAAATTTAACAATACTTTCTGATATATTGATCTATTGAAGTCTATTGAAATGCAGGCTATACCCTCTCTTTGGTTGCGCAGTTGTGGAACATGCTGCTGGCTTTTTCACCGAACAGCGTCTCCTCCAGGTTTTCTCAAATTCTGCCCCTTCTCCCCCCACCCCCTATTTTGTTCATCAGTTTATTTTGTTCTTTAGATTCCACTTATAAGTGAGATCATGTGATATTTGTCTTTTCCTGACTGGCTTATTTCACTTTAGCATAATCTCCATTTGAACACAGCCCATTTGTTCAAATCCCTTTATAGTTCTGCATTACAATTCTGATTTTATTAAAAATGACTCTTCTCGTGGTGATGCCTAAAACCCCAGAGAGAGTGTGAAAGTAACCAAGACAATCACCATTTCGCTTGGGTGTAACGTACTTGCTATTGGGAAACTCTTCCCATGGCTAAATATGGGTTTTCCTTTAGCCTGAGCAAGTCTTTTATACAAACTGTCCTTGATTTTTTGTTTTTTTTACTAGTTTTCCTCCAAGTGGAATGAATCTTTTCCCTTTTTATCTTTATGTCCTCTGTGTCTACATAAGACCTAATTGTGACAAGGTTAGATTAAGGGGTAACTATCTCAAAGTAATAGCTAAATAAAGTCTGCAATAAATATTAACATGCCCTAAGAAATGAAAAAATGCTCTTCAGATCTGAGGTGGTGATGCACCTTTGGAAATCACCCACATATATCTGCCTGTGACTAAGATATTGAACCCAGCCTGTCCTGATGAGTCACAGAAAAACATGGATGAACAAGTCTACTGCAAATCTCTATGTGATGGGAAGACTGGCTTTGGAAAAAATGCTGTCAGCACTGTTACTCTGAGTGTTTAGGATGACACAAATGCATGTCTTTATTTTGGGATAACCCGTCTGTGAGATAACTGGGTTGATGCCCATTTAAGTAGAAATAAGGGAAGTCACAGATATCTGATGACATTTTGACCCTGTTTTGTGTATTGCTGTTACTGTCTGTCTCTGCTTCCTCCCCGTTCGGACTCTCAGATACTTACTGTTCAGGGCTGACACAGTTCTCCTCACATCTTGCCCACGGAAGCTGTAGGAAGGGAAACAGTCTCAGACAGGGAAACTGTCTGATCGTCTCTGCCCACCAGCCTAACGGTCATCCCTCATGACTGCTGTTACATAAGTTGGTGAGAGCGCGGTAAATACAAGGACAAGGCCATAGGGTCAGGCAGGTTTAGGACTGTTTTCACCTGTTCCATGCCTGTTCATTACACTGGAGGTGGGAGAACCTGGAAGCACAAATATCTAATGTGAATATTTTTTTCCTTTTCATTCATTCATTCATTCATTCATTTTTTTTTTTTTTGGTGGTGGTGCTGGCTGAGCATCACTCCCTTTGTGAGTGACAGGCAGCATTTATATCAATTTGATTGTCCTAGAAATTGCCTGATCTGTCCCTCGGGATATCGTTACTGTCTTCCTAATTTTTTCCCAGTGCAAACTGAATTCTACCCCACTGCCCTTTTTCAAGCCCTCAGTACATCCATAACTCACCGTATGAGAGAACAATGGGAGAAAACTTACCGAGTAGCTACTATATGCCACGGCTAAACGTTTTAAATATTTCATAATATTTCATCACGATAACTGTGTAGGTGGGTATATTTAACTTTATTTTAAATAGGTAAGGGACTAAGGCATAGGGGTTTAAGTAACATGACCAACTGCACACACCTCTTGATTTGGTCATAATTCAAATGAAAGTCGATAATATATATACTGAATGAACTAATAGACACATCTGCTCTAGCAGCTGCTATCAAGTCCCTTCAAATCCTTGTAAAGAAACCTTCTGCTCCTTCTTCTACCTTATATTTCAGTTGACTTTCTCCTTCAAAAACCTCTGCACCTAAACTTTTGTTCTAGAAACTCTCTCTTTCAATAACTTAAAAGAGTTGATATTTCCGGAAATCAACAACAAAGACCACAAAGCTCCTCTAAAGAGGGACAAAGATTTGCACTTACTGGGATTTTATGGGTGGGAGGAAACACACACCCACGTGAAACATCAGAAAAGGATTTTGTAAAAGATCTAACAGCTGCCCTCTGCTGATAACATTTCAGAAACTCCTGGTTTTGTTTTAATTTAAAATAGTTGGGCACTAAGGATGACAAAGTGTGTGTTTCTTCAACCCATTCTTGGTACTTTGTTTCATTTTCTAACTAAAGGCTAGAAACGCCTCAAGTGCTCAGCAGTTAAAATGCCTCTTTCAGGCCCCTTGCAAAAAGGGAAGAAAATGAGAAAAGAAGGGAAGGAAAGGTCAAGGGAGAAGACACAACAAGAAGAAAATAAAAGAAGAAGAAATGCATTTCAGACAATCATTTAACTGGTTTATAGGAAACGAAACAGACAGCCCACACCCCGCTAGAAGCGGCACAGGAATCGGAGAGCAGCGAATTTCTTCATTTGCTCGCCTTCTTAACAGATTTTGTAGCTGTGCAAACTTCCCCTTGGTAATTGTCCAGAATCCCTCCGTCCAGCGACCCCTCTCCCAGCTAATGAGTGACTCGGGCTTCTGAATTTTAGTGGGGAGAAATTAAAGCTTCGAAGTGTTTTTATTTTTATATTTTATTTTTTTGCACAAAAATTATATACAATGTATTCTATGGAATGGAAAATTGATTTCAGAGACAGGATGTAAAATCAATTTCTACAAATTATTGCATCTTTCAATCTTGCTTTTTCAGGCAAACAACAAGTGGTCATTTCCTTAAAAACTGACATAATTCCAAGCTTAAAAGTAAATTTTAATGCGCTATAAAGCAAACCTTAATGAAAAAGCAAGGTTTAAAGAGTTTTCCCTCTATTAACTTACTTCTGATCTGGAGGCACCTTTAAACTCCAAGAATAGAATTAGGGCTGACGTGGGAAACTCCCTTTAGGAGAATTACGTAGCTAGTTTTTATAATTTACTTTGGAATTTGAGGGATGAATGATAAGACGCTAAAAGAGAGAAAAATACACACATACATAAGTGGCACTCCTAACGTGCGGTAGCTATCTTACTTGTCTGTACATTTCCCCTAATTTCTGGCCCCTGTTTCGCTGTTGTCATCCGTCACACCTGCGCCATGTCACCCTGTAATACTAAGGAAACATTCTAGTCATTCATTTCCCACTATCCCCCTTGGTTCTTCCCCCTCATTCATTTCCCCCCAGATTCTTCTGAGAGCTGGTTTATCTGTGAAAAAACCCCAAAACTTTTATTCCTGCGTTTTCACAACTTACCTGGGTGAAGTACAGCAGGGCAGAGGCCAGCACCGCGTGCACTCTCCCTCCCATGGGGCTGAACTCCTGCGTCTCCAGGATCACACTCTGGGCAGCCGTCACCTCCTTTCCACGCTCTGCTGCCTCCTTTCCATGCTCTGCGCTTTGTCTGACTTCCTGACCTAGAGGGCTTAAGAGAGAAACTCTTCTTAGCCACAGATCCCTGATCCCTCTTCTCTCTTTCTCTCTTCCTGCTCCCCTGGGCCTTTTCTTTTCTGTGGCCTTGCCCTTCCCGCTCATCCTGGCTCCTTTGTCGTTTCTATTTCTGGCGCTCGGGCCTCCACCTTGGCTTCCCTTTGCCTTTTCTTTCCTTCCGCTAATCCTTTCTACACGTCTTTAACTTTCTCCCACTGCGCCCCCAGAAAGACGCCTGAAGGACACATCAGTCCCCTGAGTTAGGTATGTTCCCAGGCAGCGACAATAAACTTGACTGCGAGGAGCATCCAATCAGGCTGCTCTTCTCCATCAGAGGAGACGCGATGCTCTGGGCGCCACCGCAGCCAGCGGGTGGCGGCTGAAGGCTAAAAGGCGCCCCTCCAGCTCCATTCACTCGCCCTCACCCTCCACGTGATTACCCTCCTCTCTTGCTCTTCGAAACCCTCCCCTTCACTATGTTGATCATCAACCCTCCTAGTTCTGGGCCATTTATTCCTAACTACTGGAGTAGGACTGAGAGTCTGCCAAATGAGCTGGAAAACCATCCCATCTCTGGAGAAAGCAGATTTGGAGATTAGAATTTCTGGGTCCTGTCCATGAAATTCCCATCCACTCTGACTTAAACTCCCGTTGAAACAAATAGACAGACATATATTTTTTAAAAAAAACTAGGTTCTAAGATCTCTCTCTCTCTCGTCTGTCTCTCTCTTTCAAATAGAGTCTAAGGTAAGAGTAAAAATAAGAACTTATGAAAAAGACATCGAATTTTGTAAAGAAATATCTATAGGAACAAATGAATGCCATTTAAATGATTTCTACTTAAGTTGGTAATCATTTATTTAACACAAAGTATTTTAAAACATTTTTAATACAAAGTTTTTCTTATGAAAATTAGACCTTAGTTGTAGAGATATATCTACCTTATAAGTGAATAAAACTATCTTTCAGACACTTTCTAACTCTGAAAGTCTAATTTTATTGAGTAATCGTTCAGGGGCTCTGTTGAGCGGGATCAGTTCTAAGAGCCCTCACACAGCATGGCAATGTGATATGAGAATGGAGATTATAAACTTACTCTTTTTCTTAGCTAAGGAAATCAAACAGTGAGAGAAAAGCCTAGTATGACGCTGATGATTTGAAACCAGTCAGTTCCAAAACTAAATGAGCAGTACCTTTTTTTTTTTCTTAATGTAAGGAAGTTGGTATTAGGATGAACATTATTTTCCAAATTTCAGCAGAAAGCTTGGCAAGGTGGGAGGTATTTTATAGGAAAGGGAGAGCAGGATTCTAATCCAGGCCCTTCACTGAGTTATTGTTTCTCCAGTCCTTAATTTCTCCTTCATAAAATAGGAGTGGAATGTCCGCTTGACCTGCCTAGATCTTGTTTCACAGAGAAAATACAATCAGAGACATGAAGGCATTTTGATTATAATATTTCTTGCCATGTATATGGGTAGCACCATTCACCTTGCCTTTCTCTTTCTCTTGTCAGGAAGATAGTATTGCACCATGACTAAGAATCCAGGTAGGTTTTCTGGAATTCAGTACTTGCTTTGTCACTTACTAGCTGTGTTACATTGGGCAAGCTATTACATCTCTCTGTTGGTTAGGTTTCATTCTATATAAAATGGGGTGACAATAACAATGATGTTTCTTTACATATTTATAGAGATTAAGCAAGTTAATGTGTGTGAAATGCATATAATTGTCCTGCTATAAGAAGAATTTTATAAGTTAACTACAATGATGTTGATTTCCACTCAGTTTTACCCATGACCTTCACCTTCATGGATAACTGATGTCCTCCATGCTTCTCATTGTCACCATGACCATGTTTTACCTTTTCTGACATTTCGATTCATGAATAGTTTCCCTTGATTTCTTGGCCATCTCTTCTCCCAATCATGCCAGCCTTCACCTGCATAAACAGGTTTGCCAATTAACATGACTTTTTTTCCTCCCAGAGAACTTTTCTGCCATGTGATTGCCATCAACTTTTTGCCCTACAGCTTCTTAGCAGGTTTCAACAAAATAGGATTCTGTTAATGACCTTCTAGCTACCTTTCTTTCTTAGAATTATTATTGCCACTTTTTTTTTCCCCTCACTGGATTGTTCCTGGGAGAAGTAGAGATTTTTGTTTATTCTTAGCAAAATGATAATGCCCTGTGGCAATTTAAACTCTGAGTTCAGCCCCACACAAAAGGAAAGATGATTCATGAGGGAAGACGGAAGAAGGTAATGGCATGGCAGGCAGTGAGGTAAAGGGGACAGGTCCCATTACAATCCAACACAATCTTGTAGTTCCATTAACCTTGTGAATTATTAGCTTGTACACAGGTTTTTAGGGACTTGGAGTGGAACAAATGCAGGGCACATGCACACAAGCCTTTAATCTCTGCTTCAGGGAATTGTTATACAATAGCCGTAACGAGTGGGGCGAAAGAAGTACTTATTTCTGGTGCCTTTGATAATTCTCCTTTTGACCTTGCCCAAGTCGGGTAGCCAGATTCTCTTCCTCTCTGTGCCTCAGTGAAACAGAGGCCAGGGCTATGATTCCTCTGAAGCATCAAGCATGAATTAGAAAGAGCTGAGCTGGCAGGGCGTGGCTCAGCGGTTGAGCATCGACCTAGGATCCAGGAGATCGGGGTTCGATTCCCAGTCAGGGCACATGCCCGGGTTGCGGGCTCCCAGCCGATCAATGACGACTCTCTCATCATTGATGTTTCTATCTCTCTCTCTCCCTCTCCCTTCCTCTCTCTGAAATCAATAAAGATATATTAAAAAAAATAATAAACATTACTTATTTATAAAAAATAAAGAGCTGAACAGTGAGCAACAGCCATAGGTGCAAAAATGAGTAACGTGGCAGAAGAATCCAGTCCCACCTCCCCGCCACTCCACGAGGAAGCGTCTCTGTGGAATGAACCAAGGCTGCAGCCTGAATGTTCAGTGGCGACCTCAGAGGCATCGAAAGCCAGTGGTAACGTTAACCGTAACTAGGGCATGAACACCTCGAGGCAGGGATAATGAGAACCGCTTAAAGCCTCACAAGTGTGTCCAGCTATCTGCCCCACAGCATCAGAGAAATTATCTCCTGGATCTTTAAAAACAGGAGAAACCCAAGTGTCCATCAGTGGATGAATGGATAAACAAAATGTGGTCTACGCAGACAGTGGAATATTATTCAGCTTTAAAAAGCAAGGAAATTCTGACACACGATACAACTTGGATGAACCTTGAAGATATTATACTAAGTGAAATAGGTCAGATACAAGACAAATATCATATGCTTCCACTTATATGAGGTATCTAGAGCAGCAAGTTCAGAGAGACAGAGAATAGAATGGTGGTTTTCAGGAGCTGGGAGGAGGAAGGAATGGGGAGTTGAATTAGGATCTTCCAGAGAAACAGAATAAATAGGATGTATATATTGAGAAAAAGACTGATTATAAGAGATTGGCTCATGCAACTATAGAGACTGGCAAATCAATATATAGTGCAGGCCAGTAGTCTCGAGACCAGGGGAAATGATGTAGTTTCAATCCAAGGTTGTCTGAGAGAGAAATTTTCTTATTTGGAGAAAGGTCAGTCCTTTTGTTCTATTTAGGCTTTCAATTGATTAGATGAGGCCCACTATGGATGGAAATATGCTTTACTCTAGTGATTAAAATATTAATCTCACTCCAAAACACTCTCAAAGAAATACTCAGAAGAATATTTGACCAAATACCTGGGCACCCCGTAGCCCAGACAAGTTGACACATAAAAATAACCATCACAGGAGTTATTGTTTAATGAATACAGAATTTCAGTTGGAGAAGATGAAAAAGTTCTGGAGATGAAGTGTGGTGATGGTTACACAAGGTGAATGTACTCAATGCCACTAAACTGTATACCTAAATGTGGTTTAAATGGTAAAAATTTTGTTCTGCAAGTTTTACCACAAATAAACAAGGAGAGGAACTGCTTGTTTCTATCAGGCTTGAAAAGAGAAAGGCAAAAAAGGCTGTGCTGAGGGACTAGATCACCCAGAAGACGGCGACTGATCTAACGTTCAAACTCTCCATATTGTGGCTTCTCAATATGACCCTCTAGTTTGAGGGAAGTCAAGAAAAAATTTGAGGGTGACCCTGGTGTGGGTGTTCTCTACCTAACACTGTACTTTTGTTTTTATTATTATTTTTTAAACTTATCTCTATTGTTGAAAGTATTACAGATGTCCCTTTTTACCCCCGACTGACCACCCCACCTGCTCCCACCCCCTCCCCAGGCTTTCACTTCACGGTTGTCTGTGTCCATGGGTTATGAATGTAAGTTCTTTGGTTAATCACCTTCCCCCCTTCCCCGCCACTTTCCCACTGATATATGTCAGTCTGTTCCGTGCTTCCATGTCTCTGGGTCTATTTTGTTAGTCAGTTTATTTTGTTTATTAGATTTCACATATAAGTGAGATCATGTGATATTTGTCTTTCTCTGCCTGGCTTATTTCACTTAGCATAATACTCTCCAGGTCCCTCCATGCTGTCCCAAAGGGTAAGAGCTCCTTCTTTCTTACAGCTGCATAGTATCCCATTGTGTAAAAGTACCACAGTTTCTATCCATTCATCTACTGATGGGCACTTGGGCCTTTCCAGATCTTAGCTAAACTGAATAACACTGCTATGAACACAGGGGTGCATATATACTTTCTGACTGGTGTTTCAGGCTTCTCAGGATATATTCCTAGAAGTGAGATCACTGGGTCAAATGGCAGTTCCATCTCTAATTTTTTGAGGACACTCCATACTGTTTTCCATAGTGGTTGTACCATTCTGCATTCCCACCAGCAGTGTACGAGGGTTCCTTTCCTCCACATCCTTGCCAGCACTTGTTGTTTGTTGATTTATTGACTATAGCCATTCTGGCAGGTGTGAGGTGGTACTTCATTTTTGTTTCAATTTGCATGTCTCTTATGATTAGTGACGCTAGGCATTTTTTCATATGCCTCTTGCCCATTTGTATGTTTTCTTGGGAGAAGTGTCTATATAGGTCTTCTGCCCTTTTCTTAATTGGATTGGTTGTGTTCCTTTCTTTGAGTTGTATG